AATTTGAAGAAAGATTAAGCATATGCAAAGAGCCTGAGATCTCTTGGTTCTCTTAGTTGTAAACTTACTGAACACTGCTCTTCTGATTTTTTCTGAAGCAAAGCTCTGAGGGGTGGCCAACACCAGCACCATTCTCAGCCTGTCTCTCCCTTTGTTGAAAAAGCATATTTACTGTTCCAGTCTCCCATGCAGCTAGGGATGGTAACTCAGTTGGCCAGTAAGATACAAGCAGAAGGAAGGTGCTGGGGCACCTATGGAATAACTCTTTATAACTGGGACAGTCAAAAAGGTGGCACTGTCCACCTCCTTTTCTTTCTGCCTATAAATGCAGATGGAACTCCTGCAGTCGCAACTATCATCTTTCTATTAAAAGGCAACATGTAAAGGGACCAAAAGCCAATTTGCCAAAGATGGCAAAATGGATAGATGGAAAGGACTTGAGTCCACACTGTCCTCATTAATCTGCTGGAACAACTGAAATGTCCTTCATCTAGACTTGGCAGAAAAATAAGAAATGTATTCAAGCCACTGTTAGGTACTGTGCTATATACAGAGCTAAAAGGATTCTTATGAAATACATTTTAAGAGTTTCCTTCCAAAGCTAATCATAACTCTGTACTTAACCATTCAAAGGAACCTGGATCCAGTGTCCTTCCAGACTATTTTTCCTTCTTGTGTGTACCTAACAACTGACTTCTGGATCTTCCTAGCAAATCCACTCCCTACACATACCCTAAAATGCATGTTTACAGTTGACCTCTTTTTCTCATCACCATGCTATTGCCTTCACCAGCCTTGGTTTTATCTCTACACTTCCATACTGTAAAAATGCCTAGAATATGTAAGTACTCAAAACAAAGAGACAAAGAGAGAAAAATCAATACATAGGTGAATAAGTGATCTGTATCTCTCTACATCAGCATTTAATGCTATCAAGGAATTTTAGAAAATACTATGGTGAGCATTCCTTTACTATTACCTGCAGTTTTTTGTTCACACAGATGACAAAAGGATAATTTTGCACATAGTGCATGGTAAATTGTTCCTATGGGGTCAAATACAGATTATATACTAACACATGTTTCCACCCAACACAGACTGAAGGTGAGATCTGTCTGGAAGTCAGTATGAGACTGCCATAATGGGGCCTGAGGAACAGACCTTTTATAGCATATGTCTCAGGAGCCGATGGGGAATCTGTGCTAACACATTTAAAACACTAAGGACAGTGACTAGCACTAAATCCTTTTGATAACTGCTAATATTTTACAATTAGAAATGGTGCCAGAGGTGGGATGTAACTGACCGAGTCAAGGAGGGTATGGAGTGGTGAGCACTCACTTGGCAGAAATTTCCTCTGTTTCACAAAGCATCTAGTTAGAGCATGGTGGTCTGTCCTAACCAGAAGCTCCAGCCGTATGCCTGCTGAAGTCAGACTCTAGAGGGCTTGGCAGAAAATGTCAGCATGGTAAGGTGTGTTACCTCTCAGGACTATTATCCAAATCCTTCATGAGAAAGAAAAGCTTCACTCTAAGACAGTCTGGCTAAAAAGAAAGTGGGAAGAAAACAGTTTTCTCTAAAGGCTCTTTCTGCCTGTGGTCAGGCATCCAAAAAGGCTGAGAGTCAGAAAATCATGTCCCTTGCAGGGTTAGAAGAGTCAAGTTCAGTAGCAAGAAAGACAGGAAAATTAAAAATATAACATGAGATAAAAGTGCAACACAGAAGGAACCTTAAAAACTAGCCTCTCCCCGTAACCTCCTGCTGTGCAGATCCCCAGAGGAGAGCTACCACACCTGCAGAGACAGCCCCAGGATGCAACCTCAGGACAAGAAGCCTTCCCAAGTGTCTCTGGTACTCCCAGGGCAGGGCAGTCCCCAGCTTGATGAAGTGAGGATTGTGAAAGATATTAAAAATTCATATACAGATGAGAAAACAAAGGCACGTGGACAGAAGTGAATTGCTAAAGGTTTTCCAGCTAATAAACTATGGAGCCAGGACTAACCCCAGGCAGGCTGGCGTTAGGACTCATGCCTTTCACCATCCTGCTAGCTTGCCTGTGTACTTAGAATGCAGAATGTAGTTCAACCTCCTTGGTTGTATGGAAAATGCAGCCCTCAAAGTGGACAACACAAACAATCAGTAACAGATCTGGGATGAGAACCCAAGGGGAGTGCCAGCATGGGGGAAAGGGGATGTGTGGGGGAAAAGAAACATTCCCCCGAAGCCAGAAAACACTCCGACATAGTATACCTTTATATTAGAATGGAAAGTCCAATATGAAAATGTGCTAATAATTGGAAATACTACTTTAAATATATGAGCAATCCACCTTTATTAAATGTCAAACACAACATGTTTATCCACTGACAATACTACACAAAAACTCTGGGATTTTTTTTTTTTACATTCAAAAACAGGTTTGGGAAGAAATATTGAGGTCATCTTTCTCTTGACTTTAAAGTATGAACTTTTATTACATGTTTTATAGTATGTGCAACCCTTGTAGAATTGAAGTGCTCTTTAATTATCAAGTTTCTCTTCCTGAAAAGGCTAGATAAAAATATCACAGCTTTTACCAAAAAACAAGAAAAAAATGAGTGAGGCATTATATATATTAGGATAGGCAAGGTAAACACAAAGGAAACCAATAAAAAATAATTTTTTGACATGAATGTCTAAACAGCCTCCCAACTCTTATAAAAGCCTGAAGTGAATCGCTACTCATTTAAAATAAAGGTCTTTGAGATATCTGAGGGAATTCATGCTGATAAAAGAAATACTTAAGCCTAGAATTAAACTGAAACCCAAACTCTGCTTTCCTCTACATCTCACTTAGTCTTAGAAATTGCTCTAAACTGAAAAACATGACATCCTTTACTACATTTTAAGCAATAAAGCTTCTGAGGTGTCATTCTAAAAGACTAAATTAAATGTTGTAAAATAGACATAAAGCCAAAAGCCTCTGGCATGGGAAACAAATAGGATTTGAACATTGTTATGATTGCACATGACTAATGTTAATTCAACTTTTCTGACGTTTTACACTTTGTATTCAGACACATGAAACCAATGTTTCATGAAAAATTCTTACTCTTAGTACAGACAATGCACTCTGATACTTTCTTTGTTCTCTTTTTTTAAAAAAAACCCTAATTGATTACACTTTACCATATGGGTTACTCTACCCATCAGTGGTCCCGTAAGGACCACTAAGACCTGCAGGCATTTTCCCCAGAGGACACCTTATATTCACAGTAACTAACAAGAAATGCTTACAAGTTTCTGTGAGAAATCTACCCAGAAACTTGCTTGTTATTTCAATGATGCTGGCAAAGTGACAAGGATGTGGGACAGAATTATGAAGGGATGTCGCCATTGCTACTTAGTTCTGTCCCAGGAGGGGTGAACAAAGGGCTCAGAGACATGGCCCTGCTTTGCAGTGGTCGCTGGGTATGTCCGGTCAGGTGTGGACTGGAGGCAAATCCCTGTGTGCTCTCCCCAGAGAAAAGGGGGAGTCCAGAACTGCTCTGACAGGTGGGAGAAAAGACTCCCCCTGTGGAGACCAGGTGGTAGAACCTGAGTGTGGCAGACACCATCCTGCACAGGAACGCAGGCCCCAGCAGACCATCCGCCCAGCTGCCTCTGCAATGTGTCCTCACACTTCCCCTCTTGGCTTATCACTGGAAGGAAAAGGTGAGCTTTGAAAACAGGTTGAAGTGTTTTAAAAAAGACACATAAATTGGCTTTTTTTTTGCATGCGGAAGAACCATTACTCCCCCTCCAGACAAAGTCTTAAATAAGCTCCAGTATACAAAATAAAGGGCTGCTGCACTGGGGGAGCAGAGCTGCAGAGATTGCCTCTGCTCTGCCACCTCCCCTCTCATTTGACAGGCTCTGGTCCCTCCGGAACCCTGGACCCCCAGAAAAGCAGCAGCCCAGGAACAACTGAGCAGACTAATGATCAGGACCAAAGGCCTGCCACATTGTCATAGCTGTTCCCTCCCAAGTCTTTGCTCACGCCCCCAGCTCCCAATCTCATCCTAACACAAGACTGCCTAAAACTCAGCATATGAACCTGTGTGAAGCAATGTTTCTCCAAACGTCTCTCTGCACCTGACTCCCTTATTCTACCATATGGATGGATTGTCAAAAATAAAAGGACATCAGTCAAACCGGTGCAATCCTTACTTCTCATGGTTATATACACACATCTCTTTATTACAATATACTGATAAAGCAAAACAACAGAACTCTTTGATAGCCACTCAGGAAATGTGATTCTAAGGAAATGATCTAACTATTATAAGTTTTATGTTGCTATAGAAGTATGAAAACATGTTCTAATATAAATTATTTCTTAATTCTTTCCTCGTAGCAGAAATTCTGGAATTACTCAGACTCACCAACTCTAGCAATGCAGAGGAAAAAGAGCATACTTCTTGTCATATCTGACCGGTCTCAGCACAGACACAATCTGGGGAATATGCTGTGTAAAGAGCTCGTGCTGCTGTTATGAGGCTTAGCCTATGAGATATTTTCTGTGAGGAAGTGAAATGAATCATCTTGTTCTTTAAAGAAACTGCCCCTTAGATTTTTAACTATGAGGGTTTTTTTGAGAAACTGAAACCTTATAAAAGGCTGAAATTCATAATTTATCATGCTGAATGGAAAAAATACTGCTTTTGGGAAACCCAAACTGTAGAGATCTAGAGTAAGTAGAGATTAATTCCTTGGAAAGTTATTTGTATGGGACACAAATAGAAATATGGTAAGTTTAATAAGTAGCAAAGTTAAGAATCACTGAATCTTACACTAAACACAGACTTTAAAGCATCTTCCTCAATGGGAAATCCTACTCCCCTAATATATTTAATTACTTACGATTAGATTATTTTAATATTTTAAAAACTCAACTCAAGCTGTTTGCAGTTATTTTTGGATAAATAAAATGTTGACATAACTTTCAAAATGATGTCTGGTAATAGAAAAAAAAACGGTACCTTTTCCAATTCTTTTGGTATTCGCAAACAAGTGTACACTCTTTCTCTTCTTTCTGTGTACTTGGCCTCATTATGTTCAAGGAAGTACCCTCTTGTTAGTTCAGCACTGAGGAACCTCAACAATGAAAGCTCTATAGAAAAAGAAAATCACACAAAACAAAAAAAAACAGTATTTATCAAGGAACTTACATGCTAGCTGGGGCCCTAAATAATATATATGTGAAACAAAAAGAATAAAATAATCTATAATTCCGTGCCCAGAACTGAACTGTTACACACAAGTGATAGCAAAGATTGTTAAGAAAATTGCTGTTCTGTGTGAAATGCTACAGGAATATAGAAGGAATGATTACGATGAGCCAAAATAGAAAAGTGTTTTTAAGAGCAGTCCTGGTTGTTATAGCTGATCCAGAACTTGGACTGATGGAGAGATAGAAGAGAGGTAAAAAGTGTCGACATCGAGTATATATAAAATGGATATTTTATGTATCAATGATTATTTACACACACACATACAGAAAGAGACCAAGTCACTTAACAGGCATTGCGTCAGTCCAAGAACTGTCCGGAGTGAACAACAGGGATATTGGTACAACTTCTTCCTTCTTCCTCCTCAGAGATCCTGCAAAAGTGTCTGAATAATGCCATTTCCTTAGGAGAAGGCTTACCAACGAGATGATAATCCTAAGTCATACAAAGCAGAATCTCAATTAGACATGGAAGCTCTCCCTTTCCTTGGCTTTGTCCACCTGCTTCCTCTGCTCTTCTGAAGCTAATTCACCCCGAGTCTTCCTGACTCAGGTGAGGAAAGTGAGGCCAAGAGAGGCTGAATACAGTTAGCTGAGCCTCGAACACCACAGGTTTGAACTGCATGAATCCACTTAAGTGCAGATTTTGTTCAATAAACATATTGGACAATTTTTCAGAGATTTGCTACAATTTGAAAGTTTTTTTTTCTCTAGCTTACTTTTATGGTAAGAATACAGTACCTAATACATATAACATTCAAAATATGTGTCATTGATATATTGATACATACTGATAAGAATATACTATATAATACATACAACATTTAAAATATGTGTTAATAATACAACATTCAAAATATGTGTTAACATAATTGGTCCAGGTTCCAGTCAACCATAGGCTATTATTGGTAATGTTTCTGGGGAGTCAAAAGTTACCTATGGATTTTTGAGCAGGGAGTTGGCACCCCTAACCCCCATGTTGTTCAAGGGTCAACAGTACTCTGCAGTTGGCTGTAACTGGCAGACTTGTTGAGGTGGTTATAGTCTGGTCCTAACTATTTCCCACATGTTATGATTCTCTGACACCCCATCCCTCAGTGACTCTCACAGGACCCCTTACTTCCCAACTACTACCTGCTCTCATTCTCTAGGAGGCTCAGACTCTTCAGAACTCAGAATACCAAAGGTGTCAAACTGCCCTCTTTGCTCTCTGCTGGCCTTGTGGTCCTCTCACCAAATGCAGTGTTGGTATTCCTTCCAAAAAATGACAATCAAGGAAGGTCGATTTCACTCATGAGTATTGACCTAAGGATTTGTATCTAGGTGAGTGCCAGGATTTAAAAGTCTGAAGGTATGAGGAAAAGAGTAGTTAAAAATATCCTTGAAAAGCTTGCAGGAAGATTCATAAACAGACTTAACTATATTCTGATGGGCCTGAAACAGCTTACTTCCTCCTGGCACTAGAACAGATTACTAGTTCTTAAGCATCAAGCCAAGTAGCTTACTTATATAGAGAGATTATACTATACAAAAAAAAAAATTACACACAGACACACTTCTTTAAATGCCAGATTCCTAATCCATCTGGCGAGTTGGCAATACCTTGGCTTACTGGGGACTGGAAAAGACGGAGCTAAAGCAGACTTCTCCTACTCTAGCCTTGTGCAAGGCAGGCCAAGTCACCACACATACCATGGGCGTTGTCCTTTCCCTACATTTACAGTTGAAGCCCCATACACAAGATGTGAACTGTACTGTGTATATTAACAGATGTTCAGATTAAAAGGCCTTCGTATAACCAAATCTATGTGGAGTAAAAGTTTTGGTTAGGAATTTCTAATATGATGTAGGCTGGCTAGATCCAGAACAAGAGCTGCTGCCTGAAGAGGAGAGAAAGAAAGCCTTCTGAGAAGCAAACAAGACAGCCAGAACTACTGAAAGATAAAAATTATACTTTTACTCATTCAGTCAGTTTTCTAATTAGAAAGGAAAGGATGTTTCAATTAGCTGCTATCTATAAATATCAATTTTTCCACATAGAACCTGAGAAGCAACAGAACCCTCAGCAAGCAGGAGGCTGCACTACACCCACCTTCATAGGCTGAATACAGTTAGCTGAGCCTCGAACACCACAGGTTTGAACTGCATGAATCCACTTGAGTGCAGATTTTGTTCAATAAACATATTGGACAATTTTTCAGAGATTTGCTACAATTTGAAAGTTTTTTTTTCTCTAGCTTACTTTTATGGTAAGAATACAGTACCTAATACATATAACATTCAAAATATGTGTGATTGATATATTGATACATACTGATAAGAATATACTATATAATACATACAACATTTAAAATATGTGTTAATAATACAACATTCAAAATATGTGTTAACATAATTGGTCCAGGTTCCAGTCAACCATAGGCTATTATTGGTAATGTTTCTGGGGAGTCAAAAGTTACCTATGGATTTTTGAGCAGGGAGTTGGCACCCCTAACCCCCATGTTGTTCAAGGGTCAACAGTACTCTGCAGTTGGCTGTAACTGGCAGACTTGTTGAGGTGGTTATAGTCTGGTCCTAACTATTTCCCACATGTTATGATTCTCTGACACCCCATCCCTCAGTGACTCTCACAGGACCCCTTACTTCCCAACTACTACCTGCTCTCATTCTCTAGGAGGCTCAGACTCTTCAGAACTCAGAATACCAAAGGTGTCAAACTGCCCTCTTTGCTCTCTGCTGGCCTTGTGGTCCTCTCACCAAATGCAGTGTTGGTATTCCTTCCAAAAAATGACAATCAAGGAAGGTCGATTTCACTCATGAGTATTGACCTAAGGATTTGTATCTAGGTGAGTGCCAGGATTTAAAAGTCTGAAGGTATGAGGAAAAGAGTAGTTAAAAATATCCTTGAAAAGCTTGCAGGAAGATTCATAAACAGACTTAACTATATTCTGATGGGCCTGAAACAGCTTACTTCCTCCTGGCACTAGAACAGATTACTAGTTCTTAAGCATCAAGCCAAGTAGCTTACTTATATAGAGAGATTATACTATACAAAAAAAAAAAATTACACACAGACACACTTCTTTAAATGCCAGATTCCTAATCCATCTGGCGAGTTGGCAATACCTTGGCTTACTGGGGACTGGAAAAGACGGAGCTAAAGCAGACTTCTCCTACTCTAGCCTTGTGCAAGGCAGGCCAAGTCACCACACATACCATGGGCGTTGTCCTTTCCCTACATTTACAGTTGAAGCCCCATACACAAGATGTGAACTGTACTGTGTATATTAACAGATGTTCAGATTAAAAGGCCTTCGTATAACCAAATCTATGTGGAGTAAAAGTTTTGGTTAGGAATTTCTAATATGATGTAGGCTGGCTAGATCCAGAACAAGAGCTGCTGCCTGAAGAGGAGAGAAAGAAAGCCTTCTGAGAAGCAAACAAGACAGCCAGAACTACTGAAAGATAAAAATTATACTTTTACTCATTCAGTCAGTTTTCTAATTAGAAAGGAAAGGATGTTTCGATTAGCTGCTATCTATAAATATCAATTTTTCCACATAGAACCTGAGAAGCAACAGAACCCTCAGAAAGCAGGAGGCTGCACTACACCCACCTTCACCGATGCAGTGAGCTGTGAGTCAGGAGCCCCAAAGATCACTTCACCACAGTCGCTGAGCAGCACGACTGTGGCTCCCGATTCCTGCCTGCCGCCCCTCCACCGGTGGCTCTCCTGCCCCTCAAGCTGCCAACCTTTCTGACCTACGTCTCTCTGGCAGCTCCTCCTCCGCTTGAGTGTTTGCTGGCTCAGTGCTCTGTTTGCCACATCCTAACAAGACAACGAGTTACAGTAAAACACCAGCCATCCTTCAAGGCTGTATTCTGACATGTCCTCCGTCACCTTCTTTTTTCTTTCTTTTTTCCTGTATATATTGTCCTTGGCATTTTAAGGTTGGAACTATCATCTAAATCCTGAAATCACCATATCTTCAGCTCTGACTCCAAAGCCTAAACCTGTATTTCCAACTGCTTCCTGGCAACACCATCTGCAACCCCCACGGACTCCACCTTCACCTGCAAAGCCAGCTTGGCACCTTCCCCACTAGCTCCATGCCCTCCTGCAGCCCTGACTTGAGCTCACAGCATTGCCAGTAACAGGGTTCCACGCGAACAGCTCAGGGCTGAATCTGCCCACCTCCCTCTTCTGACACCAAGCCCTAGGGGTTCCTCTTCTGAACCATGTATTGACTTTGCCTTCTTCCACACTCCACCTCATTTGGTCCTCATGATCTCTCTCCAGAGTGCTGCAAAAGCTTCTGCTGGCACCCTCTTTCCAATCTTCCCTCCCTTTGCCCTAACTTGGCGGGGCAGCCAGACTCAGCATGCTCACAGACTGGCTACCGCCACCCTCGGTGGCTCTTATTGCCTCCAAGAATGGTCCTATACCTCAGCAGTGGCGACACCAGATCCCTTACAACTTGGGACCTGGCTATCCTTTCAGCCATGCCTCGAGCCTGCCTGCCCTGAATCTCTAGGTCATGACTCTCTAGCTACATGACTCTTCAGTCTTGCAAAATGGTTCCCACTGTTTGTTGGCCTGGGAATTCCTTTGCTGTTTTCCACAGGTGAACACGAGCAGATGTCACCTGCTCCCTGAAGACATCCCCAGGTTTCCCAGGCAGAATCCATCCTTTCCTTCACTCAGCTCCCACAGCAGCTGCCCCTGCCATGCTTCCCTGCACCATATTACACTCATTTTTGTGGGTAGTTCTTTTCCTTTAGTGTCTGCATCTGCAGGGCACAGCACATAATAGGTGCTCATCAAATGCTTGCTGAAGGACTATGGATGAGAGAAGAGGAAGAAAAATCGCAGAGAAGTGTGG